AGGCGCTGTACGCCTGCAGCACCTGCACCCCGCCGGGCGAGGAGCCGGCGGGCATCTGCCTGGCCTGCAGCTACGAGTGCCACGGCACGCACAAGCTGTTCGAGCTGTACACCAAGAGGTAACGTGCGACCCGCAGCTGGAGGAGCGCTGCTGCCGGGGCTTCGGCCAAACCGCGAAGCGGGACGGCAGAACAGCGAGCGTAGCGCCTCCGCAGACGTCGAGTGCGTCCTCCTCTTAACAAACACCTGTGTCCATCTTGTGCCCTGAAGTACACACAGGCTGCTTGCAACAGGGAAATAAAAAGTAACGCTGAGAGGCACAGAGCAATTTGAGTCTCCCCCTGTGGAAGCAGTACCGTAAGAACTAGGGGTATTGCGTCTTTTCGAATCTACGAAGTTTTTGGTTTTCAGAGTTCATCCCGTGGGTTTTCTTGGGAACTACTGAATGTGCTTGCCACAATTGCTTTTTAAATGCTAAGGCTTATCCTTGCAATTTCGCTTGCAAATCAGGTAATCATTTAAGGTTCATGCAATTATTTAGTGCAACACAAGCATCTCTGACGTGAAATACAGCATTTTCTTTAACAGGGTACTGAAACACAGTGATTTCAACTAATAATTGTCCTCCCCTCTCGTGTTTTCCTTAATGGTCTGAGTACTTCGAAACTCCTTGAAGAATTTTGGTATCTAGATTAATTGTCCAGAGAACAATTTTCCCACAGCGTCCTCTGCTATATATAAAAAAAAAATTTAAGATGGGTTTTAATGGACCAAAGCAGGACAATGTTTAGATGTGCAACTCATGCTAAGATACCGTGTTTCCAGTAGTATGGAAGTTTGCAAAACTGGGCCGGAAACTTAGGTCAGGTTAATTAAGTAGTCACGTTCCTCCATTCTCTTTAGCTATCCAAGTGTCCCGTGCTATTTTAGTGAGAATTTAGGGTCCTGAATAGGAGATAAGAGCTTAATCGTCTGTGTTGATCTAGCCTAGCCTTTGGAGATGAACCAATTTACACGCTTTTGCCAATACACATGCTTGCCTTTTTGAATGTGGTAGTTGCAGCACCCTCAGTTAGCTGTTCTATTGAGGTCTCTCAGCCAAATGCTGTTGTAAATGATGATGTTAGCTGAGATCTGCCAGAAACACAGCATGAGAGGGTAAGGCCGCAAGGCTCTTTGGCCAGTTCTAACAGATGCTATTGTTTAAATAGCTGCAAGAATATTTTTATGGTTCCTAATAAACTGTTGGGAATTGTTGCAAATACAAAAGTTAATGCATTTTTAGATAATCAATCTGAAATGCTTTGTTTTTCTTTCCAGGAACTTCCGCTGTGACTGTGGAAATAGCAAATTCAAAAATTTGCAGTGCAAGTTACTTCCAGTAAGTTCAGATACAGGTTTTTAGACATACAGAATCAAAATAACAGTTTTAGAAGGTTGTGGTATCTTGCCTTAGAGAGTGCTGACTCATATTGTGCCTCTTCTTCTCCCTGCAAGTTAAATGAGGGGCAACGTTTGAGCTTTGTCACTCTTGGATGCAGCTGCTAGCATACATAGCTAGCTCAATGTTTGAAACAGCGAAAATGCTTTAGCAGGTTGTGATGCCTGTATTGATAACTCTTGCTATCTCTAAGCTGGCTTCAGGAGAATCTTTTTGGGGTATGATTTTACAGTTGCTTTAAGGAAACTTCAGATTGTGCTGAAGGAACATTTCCATCCCCTTTCCTGTGGCAGCGTTAGTGCGCTAATCTTTCTTGATAGGCTGTCACTGGAGTCTTCTGAAGGAGTAGTTTTTTACTGTATTAAGCTCCCTGTAGTTTCATGCTCAGTGGGCAGTTTGGACTCATTAAGTATTTGGTAATGTTCTGGAAAGCAGACAGAGGAAAGAAGCTTTTTGGCTTGCCTGCAGTTCTGTTCCTGAGATGATAATGCTCCAAGTGTAGAAACAGCAAGTGGTTCTGTGTATACCTGTTTGGTCCTGGCAGAATTGGGGCTGATCCAGAGCTAGTAAGCCTAGAGCTGCAGTCAGGTAATCCCTACAGAGTCGCGTGTGGCAATTCTAAGACGTTACTGCTCCTTGTTTGAGTCAGTGAAATGGATCATATGGCTCCTCCTTCTCTTCAGTGCAAAATCAATCTGCTAGTTTAAATGACCTTCAACATCAGTATGTTCAGCTGGCTGACTTCATGGATGAAGTGAGCTCATATCATCTGTTCTTCTTTTAACAGAGTAGTGGTAAAAAGCATTTTATAGCATATAAATTGTCACAGCTGTTTTTGCAAGGGCTGACTGTGGTCTTAGGCTGCAAGTACATATACTTCTGAAGTCCTCTGGCCCCAGCTGTATTAGTTATTTTTTGAAGTGGAATTAGCTGTAACTGAACTTCATTCAGTGTGTTCTGTAATTTGGAACACCCTCTCATATGGAGTGAGGTTTAGATGACATTAATTTAGTGTAAGCTAAACATTAAACAAAACATAACATTAAACAAAATTGAGTTTGGACCACAGTCTGGATGCTTAAAAAAAGAAAGAGCGTGTGGAAGGTGCACAGTAAATGTGCAGACTTTGCTGCAATGGCAACAGCCATGCATGATTGGTGATCAAACCTCAAGGATTTTGTTTGAATAAAAGCTTAGTGGCTAATGGCCTTCTGGAAAGAATTGTGCACATATAAAAGAAATTTAAATTTGGCTCCCAACAGTTATTGTTAAAGAAATATTATGCTCTTAGGCATTTTTAGATGAGCAATAGCTTTAAACAAAACCCACGATAGTTGCCGTTTGCTGTTCTGTGTGTGAAAAGACTGTTCTTCGTCTTTCCTTTTGAACTTCAGTACTCCTCACGTGCCCTGTCTTCTGCCGACTGTATAACATAGGGGTCTCAGGGTAATATCTTTGTTTTCAGATGCTCAAGCTGATGAGTGTAATGACCGCTTTTAGGAAGTAAAAATTTTTTTTTAGGGTATGCATCTTTCCTGTCTTCTGTTTCTCACTGCATTGCCTATTGAAACAATTTCTCCTTTCTTTCTAGGAAAAGGGCAAAGTGAATTCAGGAAATAAGTATAATGACAATTTCTTTGGATTATACTGTACTTGTAAAAGACCTTATCCCGATCCTGAAGATGAGGTAAGAAATGCAATATGCAGTAACCATGTTCAGAAGGTGTCTATACAAACCACTGTGCAAAGGGTGATCCTCGAGCTGTTTCTTAAGGAAGATCCCACTTTCAGAAATCTTATGATCGATATTATTTTTGACTGTCTTTCACTATATAAAGTAATACATTCTCACTTTCTTTTTAAAAATAGTTAAAACTCTTTATACTTTAAAAACAGAGGAGGAAGACACGCCATCATTCAGACAAAATGGTGGTACACTCATCTCTGCTTTCCTCTCTGTAGAATTATATGGTTCTCTTAGGGAATGGGTTTATCTTGAGAAATCCTACGAACACAGAGAAGTCACTTGATATGAGAGATCAGAATCTGCTTCCTCACGCTTGTGACAGTGCTCTAACAAGACTGCTTCTGGGGTGGGGATGTTTTGTCTTTTAACAGTGGCTTTAGCCTTCCTTTATATCAGTGGAAATGCTGTTTCTCTGTCTGAAGTATTAAAACATGGCACTTGGTTTACGCATAGAAACTTTCCTTTGCAGTTATAAAAGTTAGATGTTAAAAAATGAGTTTGTTAGGAACAGAAAGAATAAGAAAGGCATAAATCCTCCAAATAGGAAAAGACTGTATTAGTATTATTATAAAATATGAACTAATTTCTCCCAAGTTTAGTGAAATCTAAATATTTCTAAAGAAATCATTAATAATTATTTCATAATAAATCAGTTTGTACTAAGTTTGTATTATGGACAGTTAAGTTAGGAATATGGCATTCCTAAATAAAACCTGATGACACTGAGAATAATAAATATCCTTGTTTTGATAAGTCCCCTATTTATGCATTTCTGTTTACAGGAAGAAAGATACTGATACCATGTCAGCTTTTATTTGCTCTTTTGTACAAAAATGTCTTGCTCTGCTGGGAAAACTAGTTTTGTAATACAACTGGGAATT